AAAAGCCTCTCAAATGAGTACTCGATTTTTTTTTTTTTTTTTTCACAACGATAGCTCTGCATACACGCGCAAACGCCCGAGACCACGAATTTCCTTCCGTAGGTGTACACACACCGCGCCCATTAGAGCTCTACTTACGCGCAAGAGCAATTCGCTCAAACTCGAAACAATGACACGCGCAAAGACCTTTTGCGTGTACACTTACCTACATATTATACCTATACAGGGCATTCATAATGCCATGCCGTACATATTATGTGCGTGTGTGTGTTCCGAGAGGGCTCGACGTAGGCATATAGGTACACGCATGAACGAGCAATCGGTATAGGTACTCTGCTTTTTTTTTTCCATTGCCTCCTCTCTTACTCTCCCTCTGTCGTATATTACATGTTATTTCGTCGTCTGAGCCATTTAGTGGCACTCAAGATCTCTCCATACGAATGTTACACGCCCAAGTATACATATTATGTAACATGTGTCCCGATGGCCGTCAAAAAGTGTATAATAGTACGTGCGCAGCAGCTATGCTCGTACGACCTTTCTGACGATCGTACTTAGTAATAATATATACACGAGAGCAAAAATGAGTCGTATACATTCAATTATGCCATTAGTTACAAAGGACGTGCCAAACGGCAACGTTTGGCGCGATGATGAAGCCACGCGTGTGCACAATGTATATAAGTAAAAGTTGCATGAATATTAAACGTACAGCGTGTGCTTGCACGACCGTTGCCAAAATGTAAGTTGAATAAAATATATAAGCATGACCATGGTAATTGACAATTGTTAGCTTTGAGGGTGCCATTCGTACCTTCGATGAGCGTTCGTTGGGTGTCTTTTTTCGAGTCTGGAAAATGCCATCAACGTGCACAAAAAAGAAACGTTTTTGCAAAAATTAATAAATAATAGATCCGCTACGAAAAGCATCACGCATATATGCATGTAGGTATACACTGCCAAACAGTTTAAGCTTAAACGGTCTGGGTGTACAGGCATACGTGTGTTTGTATCAGAAAAGGGGGAAAAAAAAAAGTTCGTTTTTCTCTCGAGATCACTTGAAGATCGGCACGAAGAGAGAAGGGCATCATAATACGCGCTCATTGTTTTCTCAGCATCGGCACGCCAACCGAACGTCAGCCATCGTTTTTCGCCTTTTTCTTCGTCTCATTGTTTCGCGCGACTTATCGCCCTCACGGACCGCAACTACACGCTCTCGTGTATATATATATATATATAGCCCCTCGACGGTACTCCATGCAATGCACCTCTCGAGTGGTTTTTTGCGCGCGAGCGTCGTTATTTTTCCCTTTCCTCGAGTGCGCGACCCCTCAGACGAGTGTGCTCTCTGCGGTTCGTGTGTTTAAGAAGGACGAAACGGGACCATCAAGGGGACACAGGGAAGGGGGGGGGGAGAGTGCCGTCGCGACCGTTTAGCCGGTTCATTGTGGCTTGAAAAATCAACGGGAAATGAGCGTGTCTCTTGTACCTACAACTCCGTATGTTCCTTTGGCCTTGTAATCCCCCCCCCTTGATTCTATTGAAAAATAATCGAAAAACATGAAATTAAAAAACAATGCAGAGAAAATTTAAGCCCCGTAAAAAAGACTCGCGCTTATGTGAAATAAGTATTAATACAGAGAGAAAGAGAGAGAGAGAGAGCAGCGTCGAAAAATCAAGTGCGCGCATCGCGTGTATAGGGCGGAAAGGGGGGAAGCGGAGGCTCCGCCATCACGCTCGAACGAGCTCGCGCCGCGGTTGGTGGATGGTATAAACGAGGGCGAGCCGAAAGAGAATGAGAGAGAGAGAGATTCGAGCCGAGGGATATATATGCGTACGGCATTGTATATACATATATACACAGAACGAGAGTTACACGCACGAGGGAGGGGACTCGGGTGTTGCCTGCCTGCTTGCGCGCGGGGATGGATTGTTATGATTATGGCGATGATGAATATTATGATTATTACTAGTATTACGACAGGGTGGGGTGGGATGGGGTGGTAACGGAGGTACCGTGTGTTGTACGGGAGGATGACTATCTCCGCACGCATACACGTATTCGTTGTCTGCCAGATGGGGGATAAGCGCTTTGATTTAACAGTTTTCGGGATTGCAGATATATATATATATATATAATATACCTACCTACGTCGGATTTCCACAGTGATTTTGTCGGAGAGCCGAGGGGGTGCTCGGCGTGTTTCTGGTTTTTTTTTTTTTTTTTACAAAATTTTTATCATTATTTTCATCGAAAAAAAACCAGGGCTCTCTTGGGGCAGTGCGAAAAACATTGTTCTTGGCGCTGAAAAATCTCGCGGGTGATTCGGGAGATGTGGGTACGTGTGCAGACACAGAGTAGTAGAGTAGAAAGAAAGACACCATGGGAAGGACAGGGAAGGGAAAGAAGAAGGGAAGAAAAAAAGATGGGAAGGGGAGTTCGCTCGAAATCACACCCCACGCAAAGACGACGAACGAGGAAGAAAAAAAAAATCTATATTAGAGGAGCGGGGGCACGAGGCGAGGGAGTGGAGTTCGGTAATAGGCGTACGTTCGTTATAAACGGCACTGGAGATAAGCAACGCTTGGCTGACGAGCGCCCCCTCCCACCCCCAGAAACGTGTTAGTATAGAGTGTAGTGGTAGTAGTAAAATATACACGTATGTATATATATATATATATATATGTG